TATCTTAAAAATGGGATAAGTGTACCTTGCTTTTCAATGCTGCCGAGTCAATTTTGACTCAAAGTGACCCTGGGTACAACAAATTGAAACACCGCCCAGTCGTGCACCATCCTCACAAGAGGATTTCACTATCACACTATTTCGATGCTGTCCATAAGGCTTTCAGTGGCTAATTCCTCTGAAGTGGACAGCCTAGGCCTTCAACGTAATGTGTTCCTAGCCTGGTTCAGTTCATTTACTTGTTTTCAAACTCACCATCAAGTCGATGCGACTCCTAGCAACCCTATAGGACGGGCTAGAACTAACTGTCTGAGTTTCCGGGCCTGGACTGTGTACGGAGTAGAAAGCCACCTGGTGGTTTCTAAGGGGATCTTGCCGTCAGTAGTAGCTCAGTATGCCAATAGAGTACCTATTTATTTTAGATTTAAATGGGGTTGTGTGTTAGTCTGGGTATATCTTAATCCTGAAATCTACAAACGGTTATATAACTACCACAGGTTTTCTTTACTTTTCAGATTTTTCACTGTTGGCGTATAGAAACATTGATTTTCTGTGTGTTGACCTTTTACCAGCTACTTTGGTGAATGTATTCTTTCTAGTAGCTTTCTTGTGAGTTTGTTGAGATTTCCGGTATATAGGTTCATGTTAGCTGCCAGTTGAGATAGTTTTACTTCTTCCTTTCTGATTTGTATGTCCGTTCTTTTTCTTGTGTAATTGTTCTGGTTAGATTCCAGTAAAATGTTAAATTGTTTTGCAATCCAATTGTGGTGCAATCATCAGATCTAACTTAGAGACCCCCATGCCAGCCCACAGTTGTTCTTATACTTCAGCCCATTGTTAAATCTAGTGTGTCAATCCATCTCATGGAAGGTTTTGCTCTTTTTTGCTGACCCTCTACCAAACATAATACCCTTTTCCAGGGAGTAGTACCTCCTGATGGCATTTTCAAAGTATGTGACAGTCTTGCCATTGTCGCTTCTAAGGAGCATTTTGGCAATACTTCTAAGGAATAGTAGGCATTGTTGTCTTGTTCATGATCATAGGGGAAATTTTTCAGTCTTTCACTATTAAGTGACAGTTGCTGAGGATTTTTCATAACTTCCCTTTACCATGTTGACTATTTTGTCTTCTATATGGTGCTGTAATTTTTTGTTTTATTGAGGTAATAATTCACATCATATAACTCACTTATTTAAAGCGTATAAGCCTGTGGATTTTAGTATTTGAGATACAACCATTATTACAAGTCAGTTGTTGGAGAAAATATGACAGATTGGTGCAGGAAAAAATGAGTTGCTTTATCATGATAACCGCAAGACAAACCTTGTATTACAAAGCAATTCACAGTCCCACAAAAAGCAAACGAAATAATTTCTTAGAGCATAGTACATTTCTCAGAAAAATTTTAGCTTTTAGTTAACTACGAAGGAGGCATAAAAGCACCTAACTTCCTCCAAGCTGCATTAAGACGGCAATATAATGGGAACTCTTACTATTACTTAAAGTTAGCAGATTGGTACCACGTTCTAAATTTAGCAGCGATCAGAGGGCAGGATATCTGCTGACCCTATTGACCGCCCTTCCTTAGCAGTAACTGGTTTGGGACACCTGCCAGTTAACAGATCCCCAGGGCAGACCTCCCCGGGGGGTTGAGTTCTTTCTTAAACTGCCCGCTCCCCTCTAAAATGTGTCGGACTTTGAACCCATCACTTAACAGCAGAATCAATGTCCTTCACCTGACTCCCCCACTTTGCTTGCTCACCATGATGCTGCAAGAAACGATCTCCGAATCGGGACAAATGGAAAGTCAATGGGATCCGCGTGGACAACGCTCCCTGGTTGCCAGGACGACAGGCCCCACTCACTCGGTTCCCGTGGAAACGGCGCGGAGCCTCGCCCACTGGTCTGCGCAGTCGCGCTGGGGTGTTTTAGTCGGAGCCCCGCCCCCTGTCATGTCAGTTCCCGCCCCTCTGCTCCCGCGGGCTTCCGGTCGGCGAGTCGGAGCGGCTGGAGGCTTTTACGGCTGTGGCGGAGACTGTCGTA